TGCACAAGGAAACATTTCATCCTCCATCACAATTACTGTTGGTGTCCAGTCAACGTGCAGCATTTGATCAACATTTCATTAATGTCAAAATAGTTCCTAGCGATCAAAGTACTGGAGGTAAAAATGTATTCAGCAAGACAGTATTGATAAAAGTTAAAGAAGAAGTTTTTTGTTTGTACTTGTGTGCGTGTTCACATTTCATGCAATATAAAATGCTTATTTTTTTTAAGGTTGCAGTTACTCTAGAACAATTCATCATATATATATATATATATATATATATATTTTTATATATATTTTTTTTTATATTTTTTTTTATATATATATATATATATATATATATATATATATATATATATATATATATATATAAAATTTTAAGGTCAATATTATTAGCACTATCTATCACCATTTATCTATGTCCATCTCCATGCATCTCTACCTGTCTGTATGTCTGTTCATCCATCCATCCATCCATCCATCCATCCATCCATCCATCCATCCATCCATCCATCCATCCATCCATGCAGTAAGTGTCCTTTATTGAATTATATCTGTGCAGTTACATATCCCTGATAATAACCCCCACTGGAAATGTTGATTAAATTGCCCCCTCTAGTGTACAAAAGGGGATATGGCATGTGTTCGAAATGGCTAAAAAGTGCAGTACCATAGCAGGTTCGAACAGCATAGAGGGCGCTAATTTGCATTTACCTATGTGTTATTAGATATGATGTTTAAAAGAGCAAATTAATATCTGTCTGATACTGTCACAGTGTGTCTGACATTTTATAAAAATGTTATAAAAAAAAAAAAAAAAATATATATATATATATATATATATGTATATATATATATATATATATATATATATATATATATATATATATATATATATATATATATATATATATATATATATATATATATATATATATATATATATATATATATATATATATATATATATATATATATATATATATATATATATATATATATATATATATATATATATATATATATATATATATATATATATATATATATATATATATATATATATATATATATATATATATATATATTTATTTATTTTTTTTTCAAAGTGTGCTTTAAATGCTTAAAAATTTTAAATATTTGTAGACTAGAAATAAATGTACTGTATATTATTTATTTAAAAAAATGGGGGCAATACATTACAGATAGATTTTTTTTAATATATTTTTTTATATATATAATATAATATATATAATATATATTTTTTTTATATAAACAAATATTATATTAATCTTATTTTTTTAATTCAACTATGGTATACTGTATAGGGGGCCTACAAGACATTGTGCCCAGGGGCCTAACCCTGACCAGTGTATAGGGATTACGCTGGTATTTTTGCAACCGCAGTAAAGTGACGGTCACACACCCTTTGATCGTTGCATGGATGTCCTTTATGGTTAGACCTCAAAAGACTTTTCTTTGCTTAAAAAAAAAAGGTATACATGAGCAATTGTTTGCAAATGTCAACTTGCCATTAAAAAAAGTTTTACAATGCTTTAAAACTTCTCAAAAATGTATCTATCTGTGTATTCAAACTATTATACTTGATTTAGCATAGTCACACAAGTGGCAATCTGTCACATCCATATCAGAGAGAGAGATCACATCCATAAAGATGGTTTTTCCGCATAAATACAGACGCGTAAAATCAGATCAATCAGTCATCTTTGAACTACAGTGGTCCAACACTTATCTTTTCGATTAGCACCGTTTATGTTGGGTCATGCAGTTTAATTTGGAGGATTTCTACAAAGTATCTTGTATACTGTAAACTTGCAGACTGTTTTGTCACATCCATAACACATTTTTATTTATTTTTTTATTTTAAATGTAAAAAATGTTTCCCAATTGATAGTTTTCTGCTCCCACAACTCTGTGGCTATTTTCATCCTGAAAAAATATATATAAAGAGATGTTTCAATATATGTGCAAATGGCACATCCTTAAAACTGGAATTGCTCATTTATATATATATATATATATATATAGACCCCCCTTCATCTTAGCCAAAAAAGGGGAAAAAAAAGGGCCTCGACACTTGTACATTGTTTATTTTAAAATAATTTTTCAGTGTCAGACATTTAAGTTTTGTTAAAAATTTAATGCATGTCACACACACACACACACACACACACACACACACACACACACAGTTGATGAAATGACAGAAAATACAACAACAAAACAATGCAACAGTATGACTGTACAATAAAAAAAAAAAAACATTTCTCACCTCTTCTGTGTTTTGCTTGACCCAAACAGCACCATAAAAAAGATGACCAGCTCAAGTCAAAGTGACTTTGACCTCATTGCCACGCAAGAGATCAACGTTATCATGAATAGGATTGAAACATTTCTTGTGTGCCAAATTGACGAGTTACGTCAATCGCAAAAAACCCTCAGAGAAGCAACTGAGGCCTTGACAAAAGACCTACCCGCTGTCCAGAGAGAGCTGTCTGTCCTCAAATATACTATCAAAGACCAGGGGAGGGACTTGGAGCAACTCAAGCTAGCGACAGAGGCAACCGACAGACCCAACAACAGCACCAAGGACAACAGTGCCTACAAAAGATATACTGGAAGCGCCAACGGCGACAGCGACAGAGAAAATAAAAGACCCGCCGATGATAGACCCGACGACAGCACCGAAAGATCCATCGACTATGACGCCAACGAAGACAGCAGTGACAGCGACAGCAGTGCCAGCGACAGCAGTGCCAGCGACGAAAGCGCCACTGAAGAGAGCGAGAACAGCGACGTTGTAGTCGTGGAGCCAGCAGATGCCCAAACTAAGAAGGATGAGGAGGAGCTGGACGATCTCCTTAAGAAATTCTGGCCACAAAAAAAAAACTGCAGGGAAAAATTAGATGAAAGGCAACAGGCCTTTTTTTCCTTAATGGCGACGGAGCTGAACATTAAAGGTGAGTAAGCCCTATGTGTAAGATTATCAAAAGAGGTCAGATTGCATGATACTGAAAATAAAACACCTCATATCTCTTTCAGATAGGACCAACATCAAAATGAATGCGATGAGAATAATCCAACAGGGTATTCGAAAAGGCGTGTGGCAAAAGAGCTGGAAACCTCCTGGAATAAAACACAGTTTTGAGGAATACATAGTGGAAAAAATCAAAACATATATTAAAAAAACCCGCAAGAGTGACACTTGAGAACATTCTTTTTTCTTCTTTTATTTGTTTATAGAAGTGTAGTTCCGATTAGTTTTTTAGATTTGCATGCTGTTCTCCTGTTCTCTCTCTCTCTCTCTCTCTCTCACAGACACACACACACACAAACACACACAGACACACACACACACACACACACACACACACACACACACACACACACACACACACACACACACACACACACAAAGTGTTAATAAATTATTTAAAATTTTTGATGTTGTTTTAAGGTGTGTTATTAAATTGCTACTGTGTCTGCATTTTATGTTATTTACGTGTGTGTGTGTGTGTGTGTGTGTGTGTGTGTGTGTGTGTGTGTGTGTGTGTGTGTGTGTGTGTGTGTGTGTCTGTGTGTGTTTGTGTGTGTGTGTGTGTGTGTGTGTGTGTGTGTGTGTGTGTGTGTGTGTGCGTGCGTGTGTGTGTGTGTGTCTGTGTGTGTGTGTGTGTGTGTGTGTGTTGCTTCAGTGTGCATGTGGAGAAAGTTTTCAGATTCTTTCTTCCACATTTGATTGAGAAGTGTGTCTGAGGGGTGAAGGATGGTCATTTAAATCTGTGACAATGCAACATTTCTTCACATGCACAACTCAACTAAGCAATCCTCAAATGTATTTTATTTAATTATTTATTTGCACAAGGAAACATCTCATCCTCCATCACAATTACTGTTGGTGTCCAGTCAACGTGCAGCATTTGATCAACATTTCATTAATGTCAAAATAGTTCCTAGCGATCAAAGTACTGGAGGTAAAAATGTCTTCAGCAAGACAGTATTGATAAAAGTTAAAGAAGAAGTTTTTTGTTTGTACTTGTGTGCGTTTTCACATTTCATGCAATATAAAATGCTTATTTTTTTTAAGGTTGCAGTTACTTTAGAACAATTCATCATACTTATGTATCATATAAAACAGCTTGTCTTTTATTTTATTTATTTAGTTTGTCTGTTATTTATTTATGACACTATGAGTTTTATATATATATATATATATATATATATATATATATATATATATATATATATATATCATATATATATATATATATATATATATATATATATATATATATATATATATATATATATATATATATATATATATATATATATATATATATATAT